TAAGATGCGCATACATTTTCCCTGGCGTTCAGCTCCCCACCAGAGCCATCCTTTGCTGCTAATAGGCTGCATCATTCGAGAGTGCTAACATTCAACTTTTGGGTTCTGATCTTTGAAGTGGTCATTTCTTATAGGTCAGTCTAATAGTTTTGGGAGAAATAGACATTTTCAAGTATCTAAAATAGGGTGTCCCCAAGCAAAAGTCAAATAATTCTTACTTCAATGAGGAAGATTCTGAATTCCATTTCCCCCCATTGCTCCTTCCTAAACCCAAGATACATATTTATCGAGCTCCAGAAAGACCCTCCAGCAAAAGAGGCAGGTGTTTACTCCCAATTCCCAGTAAGGCTCTGAATTAATCACGAGGCTAAGGAACTTGTATCTGAAGCTCCTGGTAGGCTATTAAATGCAAGGATGGCACATGCAGGCCACATCGTGGCTGGATACAGGAGGCTATGGATCAAAAAGAACAAGATGGGCATGTAGTTCAGGCTATTATGGATTTGGAATGAGCGAGCACCCTCACTAGCCTCTACGAGCCCCTACCTCATTGCCCTGTTCAGCAGCAGAGAGCACTGGAGAGTAAGAACTGAAATTCCAGGGACTCGGCCAAGTGGGCATGTTAATGAACTGTTCTTTTTCAGTTTTTGTACACCAATAGTACCTTAGCTAATATAGTTGGGAGACCTCAACATTAATTGGAAGAACAAGTAATGAGAACTCTCCAAATCTGCACACTTAATCTTTCCCGCTTTCCCAAACTACAGCTCCCTATATCTGACTGCCAACAGATCTCTACTTTGATACTTACTAGCATCTCCAAACTCCAAGGACTGTAGTCTTCAGTATGGGTTGTAACTCAATGTAAAGAAAACCCCAAATCCTCACAGCTGAGCCAATAAACATCGTGATAAATGGGAAGAAGATTGAAGTTGTGAGGGATTTCATCTTGCATAGGTTCCCAATCAAGGCTTATGGAAATAAACAGTAGTTAAGAAATCAAAGGATGCACTGTATTGGGTGATTCTGCTGCACAAGACCTCTTTAAAATGTTGAAAAGCAAGGATGTTGCTTTGAGGACTGAGGTGTGCCTGACCCAAGTCATAGTATTTTCAATCACCTCATATTCATATGAAGATTGTACATTGGATAAGGAAGACAGCAGAAAAATGGATGTAGTTGAATTATGGTGCTGGTGAAGAATAAGTACCATGGACTCAAGAAGATCAAAGGAACCTGTCTTGGAAGTACAGTTAGAATGCTCCTTGGAATGGATGAGGGGAAGACTTTGTCTATTGTATTTGGACATGCTATCAGGACAGACCAGTTCCTGTAAAAAGATATTGTACTTGGTAAAGTACAAGGGCAGTGAAAAACAAGAAGACTCTATGCAAGATTGTAAGATGTATTGAGGAAGGAGTATAATGCCTGGTGGGGGCTAAGCAATGTATCCGAGAAGAATTACTGAGAGCCAAATGGAGGATGAGCATGATAGCGGGACAGGAGGAAAGTGAAAGGAAATATAGGAAAGAAATAGGAGGCAAAAGCTATTTATAGAGACATAGCTATAGACATGCATATATGTAAATATAAACATAATTTACATATACATTTACAAATATATATGTAAATAAATTTATAATGAAAGCTATAGAGACCAATGTACATATATTTATATGTAAAGTATTAAGATAGCAGACTGACTTTGGACCTCCACTCAAGTCCTCCCTTAACACAAGAACGCTTTGTTCTGATAACCTGGCACTCTGATACCTTCCCAACAAGATCGCTGAAGACAAAATGGGTGCATAAGCAAAAAAATGTAGTGAGGAGGGCAGTTGGTGCCTGGCTATCAAAAGATATAGCATCTGGGGTCTTTAAAGGCTTGAAGTTAAACAAGCAGCCATCCAGCAGGGAAGCAAAGAAGCCCATATGGAAGAAGCACACCAGCCTGTGTGATCATGAGGTGTCAACCGCATGAGGTATCAGGTACAGTAGAACCCTGGTGCTGGATTGCATCAGTACCCGACATAATCGAGTTTGCATCAGAGCTCAAACAAAATATCTGAATCCCACCCGACACACGTGGTATCTGTAAAGAAAAGCAGTTCGTGTTTGGGTCACTTGGCATTAGTTGTTGTTAGTACATACTTTGTTTAAACCTTTTGCGGCTGTGTTTCAAGTGTTTTGCTATAACTTTCTTAGTTTTTATGGCTTCTTGTACTGTTTTTAGATAAAAAACAGTTTATCTAAAACAGTTTATGGGTCCTATGAGTTTTTTGAAAAGAATCATCATGATAAGGAACTGGCTAACCACGTTGATGATAGTTTAGTAAACTCTTTTCGAAAACAGTTAAGGAAACGCCAACAGTAGACCATATTAGACAGATTTTTTTTTTTTTTAAGAGAAAGTCAGCCAGGTCCTAGGGAAAAAAGGCAAAGAAGGGAAAAAACTGCTGTAAAGCAGCTACCAGTTGATTTTATGGAAGGGCATTCCCATCCCAAACACTGACTCTCTCTCTATCCCTCCTCTCCACATCCTTGTCCACAGATCCAGATCCTCATCAGTCTCAAGGTATGGCCCATACTGTAGTTGTTAAACACTTTTTTTTAATGTTGTATTTCTTATTTAAATTATATTATTTAACTCTGAGCTTTTTATTTTGACATTTCTGTGTAATCTTTTATATAACAAGGTCAGGTTATGGTAAATACTTGGTGGTTGAGAGTGGATTAATCCATTTTCAGTTATTTCTTATGGGAAAAATTGATTCAGAACTCGACTGCATCACATCTCAACGTTCCTTCTAGAATGGATTAGCATCAAGGTCCAGGGTTCTACTGTATTAAAAGATCCCAAACAAACAACTATATCGATGTGAACCAGGGGGCTTGGAGTGGAGATCCAAAGCCCACCTAGAGACAATTGGCTATCCCCTCACAGAAGGGTTATAAGGAAGGGATGATTCAACGAAGGTGTAGTATAGCATTGATGAATCACACATCATTCCTCTAATTTCTGAATGCTTCCTCCCCTCCCCCCACCACACACTACCATGACCCAGTTCTACCTTACAAATCTGGCTATACCGGAGAACACACATTAGTACATATAAGAACTTTCCACACATGGAATTCAGGACAGACAAACCCATCAGGAAGAGTAGTGGGAGTAGTAATATCATGAGGGTAGGGGGATGGTC